TCCGTTCAAACGTGTCCTTACCCTATTCCACCATCTTGATTCTCCATGATTCAATTTTTGAAAATCAATCAATGCGTTCCAGTATATTGCCAAGATAAAGAGAAGTCAAATGATTATACAGCTTATGCTTTAAAACACATTTGATAAAATTTAATACATTTGTAATCTTCTTAAAAAACAGGAATAAAGACCACTTCTTCGGCAAGCTAAAGAATTTCTACCACAACGCAGAGCCCCTAGTTCATATTGTAACTGAGTGCTCTGTCCTTAGGATGAGGAACAAGCAAAGGAAGACCTTTCTAAACCACCCCTTCTAACACACTGTTAGAAGTTAGAGCCAGTGCAAGAAGGCAGGAAAAGCAAGTAAAATGCATAAAAGACTGAAAAAGCAAAAAATTTTTATGTACAGACTGCATGTTCTCTAAGTGGAAAATCAAAGGATTCTATAAAAAATTTATTTCAGTAAAGTGACAGGATACAAGATAAAGCATTGCTTTTCTATACACTACTAACAGCTATTTGACAATAACATGGAGAAAATATACCTTTTATAATCATTCAAGAAAAATGTAAATGGTATGTAAATCTGACAAAACATAAATAAGCTTATATGAGACTAATTCAATGCTGATGAAAGAAATCAAAGTTATAGAAAAATTGTGGTGTTAAGCCACTGAATGATTAAACATAGACCCCAAGTTGACATATGGAATATATCCAAGTCCCATTGAAACTATCAAAACTTTTATACACATACTATTGTAAAATTATAAAAATAAATGCACTAGAACTAAATATAATTTTGGGAAGTACAGGACTCATTGGTCTACCGAACTTGAAGACACTGCACAGCTTCAATAATCTAGTTTTTTTTTTATGTAGGTGGAGAGATACATGTACTGATCAACAGAAGTTAAAAGAACTGAGAATCACAAAAAAAAAAAAAGAACTAAGAAACAAGCCAACAGAAAAATAACAGCTAACATTTTACTAAATGCTACTCAACAGATGGAAGATAACCTTTTGAAGAAATGATGCTAGACCAATATGGTTACCATGGGCAAATAACCAACCAACCCCCTTGTCTTAAGTTCAATGCATCATACAAATATTAACCCAAAGTTCATCATAAAACAGAAAATGTAAAATTACAAGTCTTATTGTGGGAAAAACCAGATTCTACATATTTTATATAGAATTCAGATGCTCTTCAACATAGTCCAACTGTGCTATATTTACACCAAAGACTTCCACTCAGGAGTAAGAGACGAGCTACTACCACACCCAAAAGCCTGGATGAGTGAGAACTTCAGAGAATTCAACTAAAAGAAAAACGTCACTCCTCCAAAACTGCATGCAATTCCAGTTATACAACACTTATGAGGTGACAAAGTATATAAATATAATGGGAATAAAACGAAACCATGGAATTATTATTCAAATTATTATTCAAAACATCCTTTAAAATAAAATGTAAAACAGAAACAAAGCAAAATAGCTATTAACATTTTGGAAAGCTTTTGGCTATACAATATTAAATGGTCACTTTGTTTATTGTGTTTGGACAAATAGCTTTGATACAAATACTGTAAAGTAATTTGAACAAAACAATGTTGCACATAACTGGTTATAACGTTTGCAAAAACATGTAGACCTTTAAATTTAAAAATCTAAAATTATAAAAAATGACTTCATGTTATTGCATGCAACTAAGATAAAACTATGGTATTTTAGACAGCTTGCATGCAAGAACATTTTGCCTCTTAAGAACTACCTTAATGGACTCCTACTCTATTAAATTTCCTCTAGCAATAACTCATGACATTACTGATCCTAGTTAATCTTATAAGCATTCTCATCAGTGTCAGGGGAAGCGACACTGAAGGAACCATCTGTTGGAGATTGAAATGTTAAAACCCTCTACAAAAATGATTAGCTAGGCACTTTCAGATTTCCAGTTTGGCTTTTTTAAAAAAACAAAATATGAAAACTATCATCTCCTAGTTGTGATTTTGGCCAATATACCTAATATTTTTAAGAATCAAAAGCTGGGTTTTTTGCTTGTTTTTTAGTATATACAATGGGGATAAGGTGATGAGAAATAGTGAATTAAGAACATAAGTTAGTAATTATACACACCAGAGGGAAGTAATTTAACAAGAGCAAATTTTTATAATATCTGACACTTCCTAGTTAAGGCATAAATAAAATAATTCATGTAGAGATTATGTCATGTTGCTCTTCAACAGGACTCAAGGAAAAGAAAGGCTATGCTTGAGTTGTGTCGCAAAGTAAAACTGAGGCAAACATAAAAGGTTTTTAAAAGCATCTGTACTATATATTGCATCACAAAATCTCTTATGAAATGCTAAAGATTTTCTAATTCGATTTACTTGAAAGGCAGAATGTGAGGCAGGGGGTGCAGCAGTAAGGGCACGTGATAGTTTACCCCCCAAATACCTATAACAGCTCAATTTCAGCCAGGATGAAGTTCTAAGCCAGGAACTCCAACAGTGCTTCATGTGAGCGGTAAGAATCCAAGTATTTGGGCCAACACCTGCAGTCTTCTGAGAATGAACAGGAATTTGGACCAGAAATGGAGAGTCAAACTGCCACTCCAATATGGGATTTTGGGTTTCCCAAGTGCCATCCTTATGCGCTGCACCACTAGGCCTGGTATTTGGGAGATTTTTCAACATGATTTTTATTTACTTATGTTGGGAGTGGGAGGGAGAGAGAGAACTACAGAGGAGAAAGGAGAAGAGGCAGGGAAGAGAGAGGGAGAGAGATCCTCATCTGCTGATTCACTCCTCAAATATCCATGATACATGAAACTGACAGCTAGAACTGGAAGTGAGAACTCAGTTTGGGTCTCCCAAGTGGCAAGGATTCAACTCTTCTTTTGGCACCCAGGTGCATATCAGCAGGAAGCTGGGATCAGGATTGGATCTAGCACTCCAATCCCAGCCCTCCTTTATGGAATACAGCCATTCCAAGCGGTGGCTTAACAGTTTAGTCAAACCTCCACACCCGGGACACCTTTAAGTTGTTGACACAGTCATTGTCATGACACACCAAGGACTGGATGATTGTTCCATAAAGGTTTTAATTATGTTTTCAAGTAAGTTGCCTCTAAAATAATAATGCGCAAAGTGACTTACAAAACAAAAATGTCAGTGTTCACTCAGCACATAACTTCCTTTGGGTATAATTTTCATGTTATATGCTAGAAGTAGGCAAAATGCAGAGTTGTTGGCACGAGGGTTGTGCATGAAAACACCTGGGTTCCAATAAAAACAATAAAAATAAATCTTTAAAAAAAAATAAAAAAAACACCTGGGTTTAAATACAGGCTCCAGTATTTTCCAACTATAAGATTTTGCTCAACTGACTTTAAAATTGTGAAGGCAAAATTTTAAAATTTACAAACTAGGGCAAGATTATTATTACCCAAATATAGCACACTGTTCAATATCTTTCATATGTTAAGAGAATGATAAATATTACATATTAAAACTTCCCTATTACAATTAACCACCAAGATTAAGTCTAAATATGATAAGGCAATGAAGAGACATTCAAATATCTTCTGACAAAGTAAAATATAATAATTAAAACAAATATCTGGAATACCTTAATTTGATCAACACACATGGTATATATGTAGTAAATGTGACAATGCAGCCTTAAATAGAAGCGTTCAATTTAAATCACTTTTTAAAAAGAAAATGTATATCACACCAAAAATAATTAAGCTGCAACAGATTATAAATGAAACAACTTGCAAACTCCTTGCCTGAATACATTTTTCTAAGCATTATGTACTGCAGTTTATAAATTTCAATTTAGCTTACTGATGGCAGCTTTCAAGCGTATTAATAAAACTGCTATATTCATAACCATCTTCATATTCATGAAAGAGTAAAAAATACATTTTAAAAATTGTGTATCATTTCAAAGACTTAGGCAATTCACAGAAATATTTAATAAAAGTTTTGTAACAATGAGTTTCTCTTCATAATATTCAAATAACTTACCTTTAGAAATCAACTTGTAATAAACTACATTATGAAACACACTAAGCTGAGAAATCAGATCTCCCAATATTAAAACATTTGGGCCTGGGAAGGAGAAATTAACTAAGAAATTCTATAATTGTAAGTAACAGCTGCACAGTCAATATTTAATCACTATATTGTGAGACAGTTCAGTAGTGGAAGACGGGATTAACATATTGCTTTAAAACATTCCATTACTTTCTGCATCTGTTTACTGATAATAAAAGACACAGCTGTTCTAAAGGATACACACTAACAGGTGTAAAGTGCCAATTTGGCATTTTACATATAAATTACTCATTTCCTTTTGAATTACCCTAAAATTATACTCTAAGCATAGCTACCAATAGCTCAGTTTTTAAAATATTAATTTGGGCTTCTCCTGTCATTGAGGAAATAATATTATTTTTTACCACAAATTATTTTTAAACAGTATGCCTGAACTAATTATAACTACCCCAGATGTTTTCCATAAAAATGGTCACATATTTGAACAGTGTCTCCTTAGCAACTGTTCTATATATCAAATTTACTGAGTATCAAAATTGTGAAATATCACTGTATCAGATTCACTGTGCTCATTCAAACTATGATACTGAAATTTGATTTTATCATTTATTTTGACAAGTATTTGAGCTGATTTGAAGCCATCTGTACTTATCTAAGGGTACCATAAGCAAATTCGATATTTTTAAAACAAATTCTCAATTATTGTTCACCTAAGGCATGACAAAGTAACCAAAATTTCTGAATATCATAAATGCAAATTATATAATTTTAACCATATCTTACATTATCTCAAATTGATCATGATGAAAGAAGTGATTCCCCTCTAACATTTTAATACAAAAAAATTAGTGTATTGACAAATTGTGCCAGTGACATTAAGATTATAGTATCAATGAAAATATCGGAGAATTGATAATAAAAACTACTATGAAATATTTTCACTTGACCACTATATATGCTTTTATTATACAAACTTTAGGGAGGAAAAGTTAAGAGAGTGTATCAAGGGAGTCCAAAACGTTCCAGTCGCTTTCTTTTCTTTTCCTAAAATAAAGACATTTGTCAAATTAGATTTAGAAAAAGAGGCTCATGAACATGTACATTTAAAGTGCTCTTGGGACTAAATACATTAGATGAATACGTAACACATACACACAAATATATATAGAGAGATTGTTCCAGATAACAAAAGGCATTATTTTCCCTCTTTCATTCACATATGGATGATTTCAAATTGAATAAAATGTCTAATACCATTTCAGTACTGTGTTGGTCCTCAGCCAGGCCATTATGTTACAGAAGTTTTTCTGATACTTTTGGAAACAAATGATGATCAGAAAATATTCTTTTAATTTCCTGCTTAAGTTTTCAGAAGAAATACAGGAACCCATCATTCACATTAAAAAAAAAATCTCATTGTGGGATACATACAGCTTAATTACTCCTAAAATGTGAAAAAAAAATGATAAAATGTTATCTTAGAAACATTTCATAGATTGTCTGACTCAAAGTAAGTTTAAAATAGTGGTTTCAGGGCCCAGCGTGATAGCCTAGTGGCTCAAATCCTTGCCTTGCATGCACCAGAACCCCATATGGCCACCATTCTAATCCTGGCAGCCCCACTTCCCATTCAGAACCCTGCTTGTGACCTGGGAAAGCAGCTGAGGATGGCTTTGGGACCTGAACCACGTAGGAGACCCAGAAGAGGCTCTTGGCTCACGGCTTCAGATTGGCTCAGCCCCAGCTGTTGTGGTCACTTGGGGAGTAAAGCATTGGATGGAAGATCTTCCCCTCTGTCTCTCCTCCTCACTGTATATTTGCCTTTCCAATAAAAATAAATAAATCTCTTTTTTTAAAGAAATTCAATAAGTGGCTTTTGTTACTACCATATAAACGACTACATTTCTGACTCGTGTTTTATTGTAGATTATCAGAAAACTTGGTGTGCTTCATCTCATACTATGAGCAAGATGGAGTGGGGAGAGAGACTAAGAATGGATATCATGGAGATGATTATTTTTTGCCTTCTCTGCACACACTTCAAAGATGTGCAATTGAGCAATTTTTCTAGGAAAGTGTAGTTTTTCATGGGGCTGTTTATTTTTACTCAAACTGGTCTGGAATAGACACACAGCACTCAATTCTGCAAGTGTAATTTTACTTACTGTCAAACTAGTTCCTAAAAAAGCAAACTTCTTGTTCTCAAGGTTTCCATGACAACAAGTAGGACATCATAAATTACTGTGACTTACATGCAAATATATCTTGTGTTTGTTCTAATGTATACTAAAATACCAGCTTGACTTGCAATTGCATTTTAATTTACTTAGAATTTTCCTAATACAGGTCAATGCCTGCCTCTTTATTTCAAAGTTACTAAACCAACAAAGTTTATGTCACAGACGTCAGAATATGCCCAATTACATATTATATAGCTAATCCAAGCATAAAACTAAAGCAAAGCCTATGTCTCTATTATGAAAATTTGTCCTATGTTATAGAAAGAATTTTCATACTAGAGAGAAAAACACTGACACAATTATAAATGTAAACTTATCATCATTAATTCATTTCTTCACCAAAGGGATAAAAACATATAAAAAACTGGGGCCCAGCAGCGTGGCCTAGCAGCTAACGTCCTCGCCTTGAACATGCCGGCATCACATATGGGTGCCGGTTCTAATCCCGGCAGCTCCACTTCCCATCCAGCTCCCTGCTTGTGGCCTGGGAAAGCAGTGGAGGATGGCCCAAAGCTTTGGGACCCTGCACCTGTGTGGGAGACCCGGAAGAAGTTCCTGGATCCTGGCTTTGGATCAGCATAGCATCGGCCATTGCACTCACTTGGGGAGTGAATCATTGGACAGAAGATCTTTCTCTCTGTCTCTCCTCCTGTCTGTATATCTGCCTTTCTAATAAATAAATCTTTTTAAAAATATATATATATATAAAAAACTGTAAAAGCCAATTACAAACTTATCAATTCAATTTTTTGTACATTAAATGTTATAGCTTACCGTATCAGTATTTTCTTTTTCTAAGGAAAAAAGATAATTCAGAAATCTTAAAAAGTATTTGAAAACTACAGCTACAATAATTTGTTAATGGCGTAAGAGTGACATCAAAAACATAAAATGTGCAGGGTGGGTTTTGTGGTACAGTGGTTAATGTCCTGCTCCAGGCACACACGTGCAGTCAGAGTCTGAAATTGAGTTCTGCTCCTGACGCACCTGGGAGTCAGCAGGTGATGATCTAAGCACTTTGCTTCTTGTCACCCACACGGAGACTCAGAAGCAGTTCCTGGAGTCTGCGCTTATCCTTGGTCAGCCCTAGTTGTTGCAAACATTTGGGAAGTGAACCTGTAGATTAAGATATCTCTTTCTCCCTCTCGCTTTTGCTCTGCCTTCAAGTACGAACCTGGCATCCAGCTTTTGGATGCCATATTAGTTAATAATAGATTAAAATATATATTGTAAGATTTTTAAAGATATAAATATTTACTTAAAATTGAATACATAATATCACAAAACAATGCTCAGCTTGGGAATATGTAAACATTAAACTCATTAGAATGGTTGTTTAGGGAGGATAATGAATAAAATATTCACACTGAACCAAAAAAAAATAAAGATGAAAATAATCTTCTTCGAATACTGGATAAGAAATCATCGGGTAGCTTTCTCAGTTTCAACCAAAGTAATGAGCCCGTACAATTTCTGTCCTTCCTGGGATCAAGTTTTGATCTTTCATATTCTATTTGAAAAATCTCCAATTTCTTGAAGAAACAGGTGTACTTACATTTCTTCTGTATCTATGCCATTTCTTCTTTCTGGTTTTAATTTTGTGTATTTATCATTTCACTTTTTCTTCTTTAGAAAATGTCTAGTCATATTGTACTTATTCCTTTCCTTATTTTTGCTTACATTATTATTTTTAAATTTTTGACTAACATGTAATTCTTATTTTTTTATGGTATACATGGCAACATTTCACATATGTACATAGCCTAAACCCATCAAGCTGGCAAATAGCTCCTTATTTTTCTTTGTATTTAGAGCCTACCAGCTTTTCTGTTTCATTTTTGTGTCACAGTTACCTTATATACATACCTACACATACATACATACACACGATAAATATAGGTACACAAAAGGTAATGAAATCAACAAATTATACTGTACAAAATAAAAAATCACTATATAAATTCAACAAAGCGCAAGTAATACAGCATGGAATACACCATGAAATACTACTCAGCCATTAAAAGGAATGAAATTCTACCACTTGCAACCAAATGGTCCCAACCAAATACCATTATGCTCAGTGAAACAAATCAATCTCAAACTGACAAATATCATATGTTCTGATATAAGGCAACCTCCATATAAAATGTGATATCAATACCCCTTACAATAGTGTTCTTGCTACATCTCATGGGTTTTACATTTCTATTTATTTTCATTCATTCGAAAAAAAAGTTTTCGTTTTTCTTATTTCCTCACTGACTCATAGGCCACACAATAGCATCATTGGCTTCAGGAAGGCCTCCGATTTTATTATTTTTTTTTTCTTTAGCTGTCGCTGGTCATTCGGTAGCATCATATTTAACTTCATCTTATACATTTTCTATTTTTCCTGTTACTGGTTTTATGGCTTTTCATTTAAGGGGATGTATAGTAACTGTGTAGTAGAAACTATCACATGCAGTTGTGAGGATACAATGCAGTGTGCATCTCTACTTCCAAATCAAATATGGACCCCCAATGAAACTGTTGAATATATCTTGACAACAGAATGCTAGACTCTCTGCCATTGTCCATGCTACACTTAATTAGAATGATGGACTTTTGTTTATGAATGACTATACTATCGTAATGACATGAGGGAAATCAAGAGGGTAGTGGACAGGGAGTTGAGAATGGGGAAAAGAAAATCCGAAGCTTATGGAATTGTATCATGCAATAATAAAATAAGTTAAAAAAAAAAAAAAGAACTCAATCTATGAATTAGCCAGCAAACAATGACAAGATGGAAACATTAAGTTATCTATCAATAATTATTCTAAATACGAACGAGTTAACTTCTCCAATCACAAGACAATGAGCAGTTGAACATATTTTAAAAAGCAGCAGCAGTCCCTGGTAGATTCACACGAACACTGAGGACATACACAGACTGAAAGCCATTCTTGCAGAAAAGACAGCTTTTACGTTACAGTTTGAGTATGATTTGGCCCCCAATTTCACTCAGGAATTTAAATCCCCAAGCTATTAGGTTAATGATATTAGGATGAAGGAAACTTATTCCAGACGTATTTACAGATGGAGCCTTTAGGAAGATTGAATTATGTGAGGATGTGGACTCCATAAGCAGATGCAATGTAGATGAGTGTCTACCTGTCTCTTGCCAGGGACTCTGACAGCAAGACTATCGTCACCAGAAGCTGAAACATCTGATCTTATAGTGTGAACCTCCAGATCACTGAGACAAAAAAACACTTTTCTTTTTACAAGCTGGTGCCTTAGTGATGGTGATGGAAAGGTGACTAATATAAAATGCAAATTGTAACCAGAAGAAAGCAAGGGTGTATATTGAGACAGAACAGATTTTAAAACTATGAGAACACAAAGAAGGCCTTTATGATTAGAGGGCCAATACATTAAAAATTTACAGAAAATATAAAGTCATTCAACACTGCAGCATCTAAACACATGAAGAAAACATTAAATGACATAAAATGTAAAGGATCCACCTAACTGTTGCTGGGACTAATTTCTCTTCTAAATGACAATCTTATCGCTTATAAAATGATATTGTTATTATCACAGGATGCCTCTGAAGACTATAAGAAGGACTATACAAAACATGGCTCCTAACTTGTTAAACTGATATTATCTGCTTATACAAATATAGGAATCTGACATTCTCATAATTTATATTTCAAATGAGATGCAAAATTTTCCAAAGAACACTCAATTAAAAATAATGTGAAAAATCTTAGCTACCACCATAAATTAAGAGAACAAAACTATATCACTGCAAAATTAACATAAAAGACAAATCCAATTGTCTTTTCCTATTTAAGATACCTATATCTTTAAGTTTTCCCTAATATTGGGGGAAAAAATTCAGTATTGCTGTAAAAATTCTCTTCCCAAAAAGAATGCAAATTCCAGTGAAGAATTCTCAATTCTCCTTTGGCTCAAATAGATGACTAAAGGTCAATATTTCCTACTACTCTGAATTTCATAGATACAACACATGACTACAGAGTGGAAGAAAAACCACCTTTTAGCAATACTTAAAATTCCAGCAGTAACAAATTCCAGGTAATCAAGTTACTGTAGGCCCTAAAGATAGGAATACAATTTTCTTTCATTAGGAATATTCCTCAACACAATCAAGGCATTATACGACAAACTCATATTCAACAGAGAAAATTTGTAAGCCTTTCTGCTAAGATCCAGAACCAGGCAAAGATTCCTACAGCAAACAACACTACTCAGTGCAGTCTGGAAATCACAGCCACAGCCACCAGGCAAGAAAATAAAAATCAAAGGAATACGGGGCCTGGTATGGGTAGCCTAGTGGCTAAAGTCCTTGCCTTGAACGTGCCGGAACTGCATATGGACACTGGTCCTAATCCTAGTAGCCCCACTTCCCGTCCAGCTCCCTGCTTGTGGCCTGGGAAAGCAGTCAGGGACAGCCCAAACCTTGGGACCCTGCTTCCACACGGGAGACCCAGAAGAGGATCCAAGGTCCTGCCTTCAGATCCTGTAGCTCCGGCTGCTGCAGCAGCTTGGGGAGTGAATTAACAGACAAAAGATTTTCCTCTATGTCTTTTCTCTTTGTATATCTGACTTTCCAATAAAATGCCAAGGTGAAGTGGGTCATACCAGACTAAACTGCAGCTACACAAGAACCAGGGAGGGAGGGGGCAAAGCTGGTAGGAGGAATGTGGAGGGCCCCCCTGCTGGACAGCCACTCCCACTGGAGAGTGTGAATTGGGAAGCAGCAGACCAGACCAGGCACAGCTACAACATCTGTGGGCCTCAAATGAGCTAGATCAGGGAAAAGCCAGGCTGGGCTCATTGTTCCTACTGGTGCAACCGTAAACTAGAGTGGGTGAGGGTTGGTTGGGCTTAGCCACAGCATCAGCTGGCAGAGGCCCATTAGCCACCAGGGATATGTCAATAAGAACCACAGTAAGGTTGCATCTCAGAATGGTTATCACACAAAACCAAACTGAAAAGTAAGTGCTGATAAGGATGTGGGAAAAAAAAAAAAAAGATACCCTACCCTAACCCACTGCTGGTGAGACTGAAAACTAGTAAAACCTTTAAGGAAGACAGTAGGAAGATTCCTCATAGATCTGTAAACAGACCTACCAAATGACCCAGCCATCCCACTCCTGGGAATCTGCCAGGATTAAATGATATCAGCATACAAGACAGCTACTTGTTTATCCATATTCAATGAAGCTCAACTCACAGTAGAAAAGACATATAATCAATTCAGACAGCTATCTTAAGTGTTATCGATACACTATGAACTACTACTCAGCCATACAAATGAACAAAATCCTGTGTTCTGCAGCAAAATGTATACAAGTGAAAACCATTAAGGCACTCTAAAGAAGACAAATTATACAATTTCTTTGATATGTAGTGGCTATTATACAATACAAAACCTGTTGGAGTTAAATGGTCACTTTCAGATTATTAGTTTATATCTTATGTTTATATATACTCCAATGGATATGAGGTCCTGTGCTCTTCTAACTATTCTGTTGGATGCCATGGTTGGTGGCAAATTAAGCCTGTGCATATAGATTAAAATATGTCTGTGCAAATGCTGTCAAAGAGAGGGAGGAGAACCAGTGATATCAGGGCAGAGGGACCAGGAAAGAAAGAAAAGTATGATAATCTTGGAACTGTACCTTTGGAAGACACAAAATTTGTTCTCTAATTTAGAATTTTCAAATAAATTAATCAGTAAAGAGAAAAATAGTTCTTTTATAAATGCTATGGATCATCTAAATAGTCTTTCCAGGCAGGATCATTCCCTTTCCAGCAGGAACTTCTTTAGCAGCACGAATTCACTTTATATTTACACATAAACGATATTCAATACTCATTGATTCTAAAGGTAGAGAATGTTATATTCAAGAATCAAAGCAAAAAAGATAATGAAAAGCATTTAATCTTCAAGATCTTCCTTGCTCCAAGATTCTTCATTATGAATTTACTGTATACTATTTTAAAAATAAACCAGCAATTCAAGAATAATGATTTGGAATTTTAAAAGGTGTTTAATACAGGAATCATATAATTTTTCATGTTTTTACATTATTTTGGATGAATTTTTATCAACCTATAGCTCCTACTGCAATTACCATTTGATAAATATTCAGTTTTTTTGTCTTTTAAGAAAAATTAACCAGTATCTAGGAATTACACTGAATTTGTTCTCTTTGTATTAAAACATTAACATGAGAACTGATGAACTGTGCTATAGTAATTATGCAATTGCTCTCTAAGAATCAGATATATTAATAAATTTCCATTTTAACTAAGAAAATTATAAAGAATGTGCATTTAGACAGGAAATACAATTATCCTTCCCACATTTTGCAATTAATCTTCCATGATCTTGTTATAGTTTTCATACATTTAAGATTGTCAAAAACTTGATTTTATCCTCTTACATCCATTCTATTAATCCCCACTGTTTATTTCCTTCCTTTTCTCAATTGTTAGTTTTTCTCTTGTTCTCACATGTCCTTAAAATATCATTTACAAATAATAATCTTTCTTCAATGTGCTTTGACAGTGTAAGAGAAGGAAAAACCAAATGTTGCCAAACTGCAGTATACTTAGTAATCTTCCTTATTTCTACTATTCCCTCTTGGCTAAATTTAAGCAAAAATGTTTTTTAACCTTTTTATTTGCTTACTTTATTTGAAAAGTAAGAGGCACAGAGAGGAAAAAAGAATCTCCCATTCTCTAGTTCAGTCCCCAAGATGCATACAATAGCTAGGCCTAGGCCAGGCTGAAAGCAAGAACCTTGGTTTCCAACACAAGTGATGGGGACCCGAGTACTATACTCTTCACCTGCTGCCTCCTGGGGTGCACCTTAGCAGGAAGCTAGAACTTGGACTGGAGTCAGACTTGAAGCCTGGCACTCCAAGTGGGACGTGGGCTTCCTAAGTGATGTCTTAAGTGCTGTACCACATGTCTGTCCCCAATTTAAATAATGAAAAAATATATACAGACATATTAAACAATGAAAGATGGAGTTTTCTCATGTGTAGTTCTGAACACTGCCTGAACAAAAAAGAATAATTTCTGAGACCTATTACAGATATTTATGCACTACGTGTTTTCTTTAATAGCATATTTGTAAACATCCTTGCAATATTTTTAATGATGACAGTACATACCAGCTGACATATTGATTCCAATGCTTTAAGAAAAAATAAAAGAAAAATTTTATGAGAAATTCAAATTATGCAAAACATATTTATACTTGTACATTTAAACTATTTAAAAGGCCTTTAAAAACTGAAAAAAATAAGAATTACCAAGAAGTTCCTGGTGACTTTCTGAATTCTTCATTTGTAATTATACCAAACTTCTTAATTCTCATATTAAGCCTCTGCAAATGTATGGATAAATAAAATATTTCATAAGTGTGAGAAAGCCTATCACTGGATGTAACAAAATAATATGCCCAATAATTCTCAGGGGAAAACAGAACAGAGTAGAATAATTAAGAACATTTAGAGCCTCAGATATCAACATACTATGTAGAGAATACCAAATACAGGTAGATGAAATCTTAAGAATGCAATTTCCTAGATCTCACAGAAATATAAAACAGTAAAATTTTCCTACCACATATTAAATATACAGCAATCAGATAATTATAAGAACGGTAGCTTTGCTAACAGAATAGATTCATCAATATTAATAAAAGTAAATAATGCATTACTTGACCATTAATATTGGCTAATCACTGGGTTAAATGTTTTACACATCAGTTTTAATCATATTCACAATTAGTGACTTGAAATTAGTACTTGCTAAGTAAAATCTGCATTTATTATCTCTATATTACTGATGAGAAAAATATGAAGTTAGATAACAGTCAAAGGTATACTGATTTATTTATATATATGGTAAGTTATTATGTATACTTGCTTGAGTGTTCACACATAAGACAAAAATAAATTTTCAGGAAAAAAGGTAGATAATTATGGTATTTATTTGCTAAAGATTTATTTGCTTTAAAGGCAGAGTTAGAGAAAGGAGGAGCAGAGAGAGTGCAAGTGAAAGTGAGAAATATTGAGATCTTCCCTTGACTGGTTCACTCACCAGAGAGGTATCATGCCCAGGGCTGGGTCAGGCTAAAGCCAGGTGCATTAGCAAACGGCTGGGTCATATGCAAATCAGCAGGGATTCAAACTAGAGTCCTAATATGGGATGCTGGTGGTGAAGGCAGCAGGTTAAAACTGCCCCACCAAAATACCAGCCACAATACTTCTTACAGAAAAATAAAAACCATACATATTTCAAGGTGAATTTTTAAAAAGCACAAGAAAATAAATAATTTTGAACTATAATTATACTCTTTACAAGAAATTCCAAGAGCAAATGCCACAAAAGACATCTGTAATATATTTGAATATATAAAAACCAAAAATATCTGCATAGCAAAATATACCATCACCAAGTTACATATACAAAATAAGTGGGTAACAGTTTTTCAATAAAGTACAAAGCTTTACTCCTCCAACATAAGAATTGATGCTGATGGAATCCCCACAATGCTGAAAAAGCTATTATGAGTTTAAAAAAATCACCATAGCTGCCACTGCCCCACTTCCCTCATGCTCCTGATGTCATGACACTTCAGACTTCCCAAAAACTCCAGTCACCAAATTCCTGGAGCTCTCTGCCCTTTCCTGGAAAACTCCCTTCAAAGCAACACCCTCTATGCCTTCAGGTCACATAAAGGGATGAGCTGCTCAACCTGGAGTCAGGCCACACGCCCTGCTGGGTATGTACTTTCACTTTGTTAATAACTCTTAGCCTTTTGCTAGTAACCTTCATCTCCATCTTGTCTCATCCTTAAATTATGTGGTGTGCTGCAGACAAGAGCCTGTATCCCTCTGCCTTTCAACAAAAACACAAGATGAAAAAATATTCACAATCACAAATGGAAGATTTTAACATTTGCCTTCAGCTCTAAGTAAAACAAAGATTCATGAGTATTCATGTTAACACCAAAATTAACAAGTTTAGTGATGATGTCATGAATTTACTCAACAGAAAAACAGGATTGAAACAAGCTTATTTTTGTACAGAATTTAAAATCCATAGTTTTTTCATAAAACACTAACACTAACATAAGAATCCTTGTATGCACTTGTCCCCATGTACAGCTCAGTACTCAACAATTCTACATCGTTACACAGGATGATGCCTGTGATGTATTCGGCTTTCATTCCTATCCTAACATTGTTTCTTTGATAACAGTACATCCTTGCATTCAAAAGGCCCTTCTCAAGCTAAGCTGCAAGAGCTGGAAGACACAATGTGGCTTCCTGAGTGAATTCAGAAGACCTCAAACAGCATTGCAATCTAATTTTCAAGCAAAATAACATTCCCATCAGAGACATGACAGTTATTAATCACCATGATAATCATGGGAAGAGACCATAAGTGGACCACAAGAAGTGGTTCACCTCTGACAATTAGGCCTCTCCCCGAAAAACAATGAATAATCCTCTTCCTAGTTTCTGCTGCTCCAATAACTGTGACGCCTCAACTACCAGTACCTTGACAAGCTAATTTGAAAGCAATAGCTCCTGTTTCTTCTATTCTCTGGCCACTAAATAAATGCTTTTGTGTTTTCATAGTTTTCTTACTGTTCTGCAACACCCAATAGGGGAAAAAAATAAATTCCCTGTATGGGGCAGCTGGAACTGATCAATTACATTGCATATGAATTCTGGGACAAACTAACCAATGGAACAGGAAAGGAAATTCAGAATTACTGGAGAAGTAACAACAAGCATCTTTGGGATAAATGAAAGCTAACTATATCCATATGATAAAAAGCAAAACATTTGATCATTCAATATATACTGAATTGTAGATGCATCCAATTCTTAAACATGACAGTGTCAAATGTCATGTGAAGGTTGTTTCCTGAGAAATCCCAGTACCTTTTGCTTTTCCAGAACTAATGACAAAAGGTCACCTTGCTGTCAAATATTTCTATGCGAAATCAATCTCCACCCTCAGAGAGTATTACACTTTGGCTTATCTGCCTTGGAAAAACCCCAGCTCTTATTAACATACTTTGTCCCTGATTCTGTAGGGAATCATCTGCATCCACCTAGGTTTTTGACAATGTTAAGTAGTAAATAAAACTGTTAAGAGAAAGTCTTAGTAACAACAAGTTTTCTTGATTGAGATATCAAAACACGGATGCTGCCAAGAGCTGTCAACCCTTCCTCCCACCCATAATTACACAAAGCTTAAAAAACTGTGTATTTGGGCCCGGTGTGATGGCGCAGTGGTTAAGGTCCTTGCCTTGCACGCCCGGGAGCCCATATGGGTGCCGGTTCTAATCCCAGCAGCCCCACTTCCCATCCAGCTCCCTGCCTGTGGCCCGGGGAAAGCAGGTGAGGACGGCCTAAGGCTTTGGGACCCTGCACCCACGTGGGAGACCCGGAAGAGGCTCCTGGCTTCGGACCGGCATAGCATTGGCCGTTGCACTCACTTGGGGAGTGAATCATTGGACAGAAGATCTTCCTCTCTGTCTCTGTCTCTGTATATCCGCCTTTCCAATAAAAATAAAATAAATCTTTAAAAAAAACCTGTGTATTTAGGGATATACACCTGAACTAATAAAAAGGAAAAGTATCAACTTCAGGATGATTACTGTTTTGAAGAACAGAGAAGGGAGTAACGACACAGGTGAGATAGAAAGTTAGTCACACATATACAGCTGATTGTACATCTTCTTAGAAAAAAGATTCACTGCAAAATCCCAAATGATTATGAAATGTTCTGAAGTGCAGACTGATTCAACAGGATTGGAAATGAGGTGGGAGTGGAGCTACATCCTGCAGCTCTAGTCAATTTACACATGAGGCTGATCCCACCTGGCCACAGTTCATTCTTCAAATCAACCCTCAGGTCTAAACAAAATCTGGCTGATTTATGCAACTTGTGGTTTTTGACATTTTCTATATGACTAAATAGTTCACAAATAAAAAATAAAAGTAAAGTTCAGAGAACTTTCAGCAACTTTCAGAAGGCGCTACCAAGCAGGTGGTAATAAATAATCCCGCTCTTACTGGCTTCTACAGCTTGAGGCTATCATCTTGTGACACATCAAAATACACGAAAATAACAATGGCATTAGGGAGACCAGCACAATGCATCAATTGGCTAAATCCTTGTCTTGCATACACTGGGATCCCATGTGGGTGCTTGGTCATGTCCCAGTTGTTACACTTCTTGCATGTGGCCTGTGAAAACACAGGAAGATGGCCCAAAGCCTCGTGACTGCACCTGTGTGGCAAACCCAGAAGAAGCTCCTGGCTCCTGGTTTCAGTTTGACTCAGCTTCTGCTGCTGCTGCCACTTGAATTATTGAACAAAAGATCTTTCTCTCCTCTCTATAAATCTGCCTTTCCAATATAAAATAAATCCTTTTTTAAAAAATGAAATTAGAGACCAAAGGAAAAAATGGCATGACAGTAACTTAAATTCTTGCAGAATCATTTTATATGGAATTACTAATCTTTTCATTTCATCATTAAGTTCCTAAAAGCTAATAAATCAATGTAATCCAAACCTCTTCATCTGTCATTGATGAGACACTCCTGAGGGATATTTTTTCACTTGTTCTCATGCTATAAAAAATGGGATAACATGAATTAAAAAATTAAAATCTAGTAATTTAGGACAACACTTTGGTTAACTTAAGTAAATGATGTCACATAAATAAGAACAAACTCTGCCTTAAAAACTCCTCTCTAGATATGAAGAAGTGGATTTAGGAAGTGAGCATTAAACACAGAATACCACATCCAAGAAGGCCAGGAGTGGATATGTTCTGCATTCCATCATTTTCCCCAGCATTTAGAAACGCTATTGGCACATAAAGTCTCTCGATAAGTATCTGCCAAATGACAAAATAGATGTGTTCCCCTTTTGTCACTCATGTGTTGGTCACTCAGTGGTGTGTTTTTTCATGGTGCTATAATTTTTTCTTGATATTGCTGCTGTTGTTGTGGCTGTCCTAACTCATAACAGTTGTTGACCTGGTTTCAAAGTTTCTCAATTATGGAAATGTATAGTGATGGAGTACTGGGGTCTATCATACACAGATGTGGGGGAATAATGGAACAAGCATCCCTGCTTCCAGACGAAAGACAGATTCCCAATGAAACTGCTGGATATGTGTAGACAATGGGATGCTGGACTGACATTATCTGTATCAACAATGTCGGGGAACACTTAAATAAGAGACTAATAGAATTATGATTCCCTATGAAGGACCACACTATTGCAGTAAAATAGGGAAAATTTGTCAGGGGGGTCTGGGAAAATAGGGAAAATCTGTCTGGGAGTTTGGGGGGAATCCCACCCTATACGAAATTGTACCACATAATTCAAAATTTAAAATAAAAATATATTTAACAAAAAGTTTTACTTGGTGACCTAATACAGGTAGATCAGAATACTGTAAGGGATATAAAGATAAAATCAGACTATCTTGTCTTTCAGGGTATCAAAAAATCTACTGGGGAATACAGATAATTTATATACTATTATTAAATTATATAAGCAATAAGTTGATATATTTAAATAAATATTTCTGATGGGAAAACAGATGTGATTACCCAGAAAAGAAACATATACACTCAGGAATGATACACAAAGAACTGTGCAATGTGAAAATCATTGAGGTGGCATGGATAATAAATCATATATAAGGCAGTATAGAAACACATTAAAGAGAACGCTCAATGAAGACTTCTCAAAACAATGTGACTTTTTTTTAAGTGTTAGCATTGCCATATTCTTTGTTGGGGGTTTATTTTTTGAAAAGCAAATAGAAAGGAGAAAATACAGAGAGGCCTTCCATTTAACGGCTCACTCCCTGCAACAGTCAGGTGTGGGCCCAGGTCAAACCCAGAAGCCCAAATCTCCATCCTGGTCTCCATGAATAACAGGGGCAAAAGTACACACTCCATCATCTATTGACTTCCAGGTACACTAAGCAGGAAACTGGATTAGCAACAGAGAAGGTGGGACTCAAACTGATGATCTGATATAGAATGCCAAGTGGTAGCCGAATCCACTTTGCAACAATGCTGTCCCCAAATTCTGAATCTCACATGATAAAAGTTTGCTGTGTAGCCCTGGACTCAGATGGCAAAGAGCAGGAGGTATTAGGCGATGAATATTCTAAGGAGAAGGATGTATACAGACACAGGAAAGAACAAGGGTTGAGCATGTTTCAAGAAACCTACCAGACTATGAAGCTCCTAATATATATCAGGTTAAGAAATTTGACTATAAAAATTAAGAATTTTAAGAGAGTAATTTTATCATCTTGAATTTGCTAAGGATTCTGTGATGGTGATATGGAATATGGACAAGAGAGTAAGGTAAGAAGAAAAGAGACTAGCTGACGGTACTTTTTAAATGGTTAAGGCCAAAAGTGACTACAGGGATGAGTGGTTAGCACAGTGCTTAAGATATCAATTTGTACACCAGTATCCCACATTAAAATATCCGGGATGGAGGCCTGGCTCTACCCTCAATTCCAATTTCCTGCTATCACGCATTCTGGGAGGCAAGAGGCAATGGTTCCAGTATTGGGATTCCTGCCACCCATGTGGGAGATCTGCTGGGTTGAGTCCAGCTCCTGGCACTTAAAAAGTGAATTATTAAGTAGGAGAACTCTTTGGCTGTCTCAAATAGTAGTAAAACCTAGCCTTTCAATAGCATGCTTAAAATGCTCAAGGTCAAAGAAAGGTAAACAGTTTGAACAATACTAAAGCAATGGAAAGAGACTTAGAAGCTTTTAAGAAGTAGAACTGATGAAGTTTGGAATTGTTAAAGTTGCCCCTATGCTCCTAATTTGTGTGGATGGACAGTGTAATGGTGAATACAAGGCATATGTATAGGTATATACGAACTAACAGAATGCTAAGATAGGGATGGAGAAGCCTATGGTTTACTGGAAAGATGAGCTAGGCAACACATATAATATAGATAACATGTATAAGAAGGATAGAAGTGAGTGAATGGGAAAGCTGGAATAGGGCTTTTATCAACTGCTTATTTGACCTAGGAGACCTGGGTTTTTCCCTGTCTGCTTTGGAAAAAATAATAATGAAAATGAATGTCAATGTAATATGTTTTGAAAAGGGACCTGCACGTATTATGGAAAGCTATGTGTGGGTTTCAAAAATTTTTATGCCCAAATAAACTTGACTTTTAATTCCTTTTTCTATGGATAAAAAAAAAATAAAAGAAAATGGACCTGCAAATAATTTGAGGATAAAGGAAATCAATACAGGTCTGGTCTAGGAACTGCCAGAGATGAACCTTCAAAGTGTTCTCATTATTTTCTTTAAAGCATACACTCCAAAAATGCATACTCCAACATAAATTGCATTAAGCACATCAATTTTTTTAACACAGGGCTGCTCAATTTGTAACCATTAAGATGGTATCTCATTCTAAGATAATACATGATGAGTACATTACTAAAATGATATACATCTACATTTGTTATATCTAGGAGCAACACCAGGTTCTGCTTTTAAATTTGCTTTTTAATTGCAAAATTCCTTTACCATATAAATGACAATTTATATTAACTATCATTTTTATGTGTGTCTCAGGCATTGTACTAGTTGCTTTAAATTCCCACTTACTCTTTCCAAACTCTAAAAAATAAACATTATCCTGATATAACACAGAGGAATCATATAGAAATTAAATAGTCTACAGTAATAGCCAATAGTAGCTAAAGCTAGAATACAATCCTGAATGTCCAACTACCAGGCCCAACCTACATTATACTGTATTATTGATTCAAAGATACAAAAAATATATATCTTATATTTGAATAATTATAAATTTAAGGGAAATTTGTGTTTTTTACTGACTTATCATGTGATTCTTTTGAACTAACATCTTCACTTATAATTTCTGTTTCTTCTTCCTTCAAGGAAAGAAAGATGTAAAATTAGGGTAACTGATTTCTTTAAAAATCCAAATATCCCAGTTATTCACATAATCATCGCTCTCGGTGACAGCATGCATCTTTATATTATTTTTATTTCTTTCCCTTTGACACTTATTCAAGAATGACCAAATTAACAGAAAAGGGGGTACAGTTGGTGATTGACAAAACAAACAAAAAGCAAGAGACAATCTGGAAACAGATCCAGATGGAATGCAGGAGAGTACCCAGGGCAGCAGTAAGTCCAAGGAATCTAGAAAGTCATGTCACAAAGAACAAAGTAACCGCTCTTTATCCCAAGACAAAAACCAGACTATCTGTTGCTGGGAAATCAACATAAAGTCAGATTCACTGAAAGCATCCTTTTGTCCATTAACTCAATGTTCTTGTTAAATGAACCAGCATATTTTACTGGCAAATATAAAAACTGTAAGATGAAAAGAAATCAAAGCTTTCTTTTGAATTCTAGCTTAGAAAGAATATATTTTTATACCTCAAGAATGTCAAATTCTTCTTCAAGTTCTTCTAAAGAAACTTCTTCTTCTATGTTGAAAGAACACAGTGAACATGAGATGGTTTAAAGCACTGAGATAACACATACATGGAATTTTAGAAGTAGTTTTAAAAACTGACTTCTCGCCTCTATTCTTACTTATTCCAATAAATTTTAAACATTGTTTTAAGCTAGATTTTAATGTACTTTTTTGGATGAATTCCTATTCAAAAACGTCCAGCTGCTTTTACCCAAGCCCCAAACCTTTATTTCTTTGAAGATCTGGTTTCCAATCAATCTCCTTATTTCTTATGATTCTCTTTCCATGCGAATCAGGACAGTTAGGAGTAGTACTGGGGTGTTAATACTTGCATTGATACAAGTGAAGGGAAAAAGGTCTAAAAAATTTTAATTCCAAACAGATATTTACAAACTGCTCAAATACTAGAGCATTTTAATAAAAGTAGAACGCTAAATATTGACATAGCAAATATATATAGCAAAAAATGAAAAGCATGTTATTTGTATGAACATTTCAAACGAATTTGAAACCCTGGATTTATAGATTTTTGGAAAATCAAGAATATATTACATTGTGAAAATCCGAAGCATTTTATTATATTATCATTTAATATATATTAAATATACATGTAGTAGATCACATTACGTTTACACGAGTTAAGTAAATTTATTAATGCTCATTTGTATAACTAGCCAGACCAAAGCCTAGAGCTCAGAATTCCAAGTGCATCTCCTGCACTAATAGATCCTCAAGCCTTTGCTACCTCCCAGGATGAATTAGCAGGAAGTTGGACTGGTAAAAGAATAGTTAACCAGCGAGCTAACACTCTGATAATGAGTTTTGGGTGTCTTAGGGAGCAGCTGTGTCATAGTGCCCACTCTTAGATTAATCTCTTATGAGCTGATCAGTTTCCACAGAGGATCCATTTTCAAGCTAGCTAGAAGGAAAGCTGCAAGGCATCTCTGACGCACTGGATTATTGTACAACATCAATTTTATTAGAAACTATTGGACAAAATCAGAAACCAAAACAGATTCAAGGGAGTGGAAGAACAGATTTCCGTCTTTTAGTAGAGGAATGATTTGTGTGTGTAGAAAAAGGAAGATGTTACTGGTGGATTGGAGCAAAT